TGCCCATTACTCCTTGTTATGCCAGCGGGCGCTAGGGGAAACAGCGTCTCCCCCAAACCCTTCTGGTCCCCCCTAGTGAGTCTATAGACGGTCACCAGGTCCCCCCTCAGCCTTCTCTTGTGGAGGCTGAATAGGTTCAGGTCCTGCAGTCTCTCACTGTAGGGTCTGCCCTGTTGTCCCCGGCCCATGCCAGCCCCATGTGATAGGATGAGACTCCAAGACTCCTTGCCTCACTTGCCTAGACCCACATGCTGAGATTGGGCTCCAGGGCCCCCACTACCCCTGCCTAGACCCATGCAGTGGGATTGGTCCCCATGCTGCCCTGTGTGGCTGATTTAACACATAGGGTCATGGTCTGCATGGCTCCGCACACACTTAGAGGGAGCCTGAGGATCAGATGACATGGTGCCAGGGGTTGAGCATCCCTGATGTGAACCAATGTTGGATAAAAGCGAAGTGAGATTGTTACATTTCTTTCGGGCCTGACACACAGGGTTCCCAAATTGCATGTGGGAACTTTCATGGAAGAATCCTTAGTGTCTTAAACCCTACCACATACTGTACATATTTTGGTGGGTGTTTTTTTTGTTTGCTTGTTCATTTGGTTTTGTTGAAGCTATCATTTAGTCTAAACCTTAGAAGATAAATTACTGAGACAGAGAAAGTAACAAATTTGGACTTGTGTTAGGCAATCCATTTTTTGTTCCTTTTTCATTATAATCGTCTCTCCATTAAAGACAAGCATTCATAATGCCACTAAGACTATGATAATTATTTTTCCTTTATTAGACTGAAATGAATGGTAGCTCATTTTTATTTCAGTTTTTCCAAAGAAGCATCATTCTTGTTAGCCACAGCTGCAACATCAAGAAGACTTCACCTTTCTTCACTGAGGCAACAGTGACAGACACTCTGGCTAGGTACAGATAGTCAAAATGCCTCAGCCAGAATCAATCTAAGTTATGCGGTTTTCTGTAAGCAGCATAGTTTAAATCAGGAGTAAACAGAATACACATTTGCCCTTTGGTGAGAGGGGCAAATCTTAGACTGGGTTTCACCATTTTAAACCAGTCTATGCATGCTGAATTTCTGTTCTGTTACAGGTATAAACTGGTTTCTGACCACTTATACAGGAAAAAGTATAATGTCTGTGTCTCGCCTCTGAGTCAGGTTTGGTCTATAACGCCTGTCCAAAGTAACAATACTTCTGTTTTTCTGATTCCCTTGCTAACAAGAGTCTTTTTCAGCTCATCAAAAACCAGATCCTCAGAAAAACTAATCTTTTTCAAAACAAAGGGGAGCACTTGCAAATTGTACTAAAGATGGAATGTGTGAAGTACTACGTCCTGCAAAAGAATGTCATCAGTCTGCAAGGGCTGAGTGAAAGACTTGACAGTACAAGCCACTCAAACTGCATATCCTAGAGGCAACACAAATGAGCCATGTGATGAGACACTAAATAAACCATCCAAACTGTTCAGCTACCCTGTGCTGCTACATGTGTTATTTTGTTCTTCTAAGAAAGAAGAGATTTTGAACTTCAATGGAAATAGCAAACAATAAAAAAAGCTTGGAAGTAAGTGAACAGAACCATAACATACGTAGATAGGAGGACAGAGAGGTCAATAAAAGCCTTACAAAAGTAATGTACAGGCATACCTCAGAGATATTGCGGGTTCGGTTCCA